AATATATATATATATATATTTTTTTTTTACCATTGACATATATTACAAGTCAATTAGGAACAACAAAACATGATCTCCTGACAAATTTTGACAACACTAAATAAGAAGATCTGCATAATAAAGGGCAAGAATTTTTTCACCCAAAAAATGAGTTATACTTTCTTTTACACACCACATATTCAAAACACTTCTTTTTCACTCTAATTGTGCTAAAAAAGATCGCAAAATGGCCACATTATATGTATGATCAGGGGCGGAGCCAACCTCATCATTCACCGGGGTCAGCAATATTTTTTAGTGGGGTCATTAACCTAGTAAACAGTGTTTGAACAATATTTTATACTAAAAATTTTGAAATCTATAGGGGTCAGCTGACCCCAGCGGCAAGGTGCAACTTCACCCCTGTGTATGATCACACAATATGATCGCACAATGACAATACCATTTATTTCACACACAATATGATCGCACAATGCATAATACCATTTATTGCATCACATGATCGCAAAATCGTATCCCACAATAATCGCACAATTGTTGCATAATGATTGCACATTCGAGCTTGAAACCGTCAGGTGTTAAGCATGTCGTTTTCAGGTATCAACATACAACTACTTCACCTGAAACTGTTTATATGTCAAGATACAATATAACTTACACGAGTTGGGTCAAAACCCGAGCTTAAACCCATCCCAGTTTGGATATTGGGCCACAATTTTAAAAATAAATTTGTTGCAAAAGATTATAGGGGCTCGGCCCAAGGCCCAAGCCCAACACCGGCCCAGACGGTCCAAGACCAGTCTATGGTCCAATTGTCAAGGACCAAGGCCAAGGTCAAGGTCAAGGTCCAAGCCTATGCCCGTGCCCGAGCTCGAGTCATTTATTCAAACGATTCACTGAGTTGTTCCATGCATGATACCACATCAGATATTGGATTCTTCTCATTAGTACTCAACCAACTTAACAATACTTGTTGTGTTCGGATTTGCTAAGGACTCTAAGGCCGGGAGTTCCCTTTGTCTGCTGATACACAGAGGAACCATTTTGGCTAAAAATGGACACGATATATAAAACCAAAGTTATTATTCTTGTTCTTAAGTTAACTGCATACTTGAAGATAAATTAAAACACCGAGGCTCCACAACAGATGGCAAGAAAATGAAAAAAACGTCCATACAAAAAATCGCTACACAAACTACATAATGACTAAGACCTACGACACAATGGCACGGTAAAAGCAGCTTACGACACCAAGTGAATGCAGCTGTTGAAGTTCCACAAAGTGGGTATGCTCTGTTCATGACTGAAGAAATTATGAGGATCGAGTCACATCCACGAGCCTCGTGAAGTTGTTGCTGAAGTACTTGTTTCCCCATATGCTCGGGCAGCTGCAGTTCGGGCAGCTGTTTACATCCCTCCCCAGATCGAGATTCCTGTAGTTCACATACGCATGTCTCGGATTTATTCGACACATAAGGAGTCATGTACTTGTAAACCTCCCTCGCCCACTTTTCGTTTTGGGCCTGCGTCTCGACCTCCTGTCTTCCGTTAGCCACTGCTGGTCAACGTAGTGCAGCATCATGAAATATTATTATTATTATATCATCTATTTTTTGTAGAATTGCCATTGAATTAAATCACCGCTTCTCTCAAACGATGTCTGATAACATTATACCAAACAATATTTTGAAAAGTCTATAGACTCATCACTTAGAATTATTACTACTTTTTTGCACTATTTTAGATAAAGAATACCTCTTGTAATTGTTTTATACAAATTCTTTTCACAATGCAAAACACACACACAAGCAATGATCAGAGGTATAATTTAACTACGATCATTATGTTATACCGATATATTATTGTATAGTCCGATAAATCATCTTACGTTCACCAGAAACAAAATCATTATCGTCCTTATGTATTGTATTAAGCTCCTTTTGTCACTTCCATTTTTTGAATGTCTATTATTTATTACCACGTGGTCAAATTCAAATGCTTATACTAACAACATATAAACGTGTAGAAGACTCAGGAAAGGGAACGGTCAAATTTCGAGAAATATAATAATTGCGTTTATACTAAGTTATTAATTTATTATTATTATTATTATTATTATTATT